ATGACTTCCAGATGCTGCAACTATAGGAAATACATGCGGATTGCCAAATATCCAACTTTTGATCACGTCAGTGAGGATGCTATGATAAACATAAGTGCAATGATTGATTGCAAGTCAATTTTTTCAATGCCATTGGAAATTTGAATGATCGCTAAACAAACAGATGTAAGCTGAGGACCATTTTTATATATTTTATATTACATTACTCTTTACAATGGTTTAGAAATGTAAATTTGGATGAGGAATGGAAATATATTTCATCAGGTGTCCAATAGATCACCTTTAAAAGAAATGCACAAGCCTTTCCAGCTATCCTGGTCAAAGGGATTAAGTCTTTTAAAAATTTTACTTGGTGCCAAAACTCAAAACTCTCAACACTTCAACCATCACTCTCCTTCTCAAGGCCCAGAAACTTAACCTGAGTTCAAAAGAAAATGATTGCACAGGAAAAGGTAATTGTAGATGATGCAAATTGCTCTTTTTGATCTACCCACTGGGATATTAAGGTCAAAATGCCCATAAGGAAAATTATTTTCTGGGAATTCTTTCATAGAAAAAGAAACTCTACTATTTATAGTTTCTTTCTCCCCTCTCTAGGTTATTTCTAGGATTTAGGAGAGGCTATGGAGAGGGGTCCTTGCTGCTTTCTGAACTTGGTCTTTTTCTTGCAGATTCTTCATTACCCAAACTAGATAAAATCATCAGTAGTAGTAGTAGTAAGGGGCGGGGTTTGCTCTTAATTTATATTCGAATTGCTTGCTCTGTTAGTGTTGGTGGGAGTGTTCTGGGAAGTTCTTTGTTGGAGTGTTTACTGTTAGATTGTTTGACAGTTCCTTGGTTGGGATATTGTTTACTTCTTGATTGTTGGTCTGATGTTAACCTTGATGTTAATCTATGTTCATCTGGATGTTGATTAGGGTAGGGAAATCCTTTTATTCCCTTTCTAGCTTGTTGATTGTCTCCTTTGCACAGTATGTAGATACTGTTCATCCCTATTTGCCTATTGATGGCTAATTTGTCAGAGTGCCAGACTTCTAGAAATTCCTAGCATTTTTAGACTTGGTCTAGGATGGTCACAATTTCCCAACTCTATAGTTAGACCTGTCCATATGTTGTGAAATTAAAGAGTTTTGATCATGTCTTCTACTGCTATGGGTAAGGCTATGGGAGACAGCTTCTATATTTCTTTATAGGGATCACAATTCTGATTATAGTATTCTAGAACAGGAGTGTTCCTACTTTGATTAAACATGGTACTCCTCTATATTCTTATTCAAATGGCTTGTTATTTGAATAATAAAGCTCTCTGGGTCAGAGAGATGAATGAACACTCATTCCGGTTGGTTATCATCACCAGAATGTTTAGTATACTATAAGCTCTAATAAAACAGTGAGCTTTTCATGTAGTTATTTATATAATTTGTTTCACTGAGATCTCATTATGTAAAAAACACAAAATAGTGAGTAAATGGGCATGATAAGAGGAGAAATATAGAATTTTTAAAAAGAAAATCGACCTATATCTTGGCAAAACCCAAGAAAGATCTTTCTTTATCATAGATCTAGATTTTACAACTCCCCAAAAAGAGAATATATCAGTTAGAATCTCCAAAGAAAATTCCACCAAAGGGTCAAATGTTCCATTTAAACCAGAAATATTACAACCATGAACCCTTTGAAGTGTGTATCAAATTACTGTGGGCTTTATCATGCTAAAGAGGATCAATGTCCACTTTGCATGAACAAGCTAGCAGCAGGAACAGGAAATTCCAGCAGGACTTCTGTTTTGTTTGGGAAATAAACATGCAAAGTTGCAGCCTTGCAGAATCTACTCCCAATCTGCCCGGGGCACCAAATTTACTGCCTTGTCCATGCAAAGAAATGAAAACACAAAACAAGCTTCCCATGCATGAGCCTTATTGTCTTCCATGCCTTAGTTGGATGGTTGTCAAAACTGAACTTCTGTATTGCTGGCAGGCAATAATGAAATCAAGATTTTCCACAGCAGAAATTTGAAAATTCTGCAAGCACGTCCATCTATTCAAAATATTGTTTTAAAGTTAATTTATTGTAAATTTTCAAAGAAAATGTTTTAGGATTATCAAATTAATGATTATAAGATGCTATCATGGTGCATTTGAAATATGTATCAATAATTATTAGTGGTATAATTGTTAACTTGTCCATCCCTAAGGGTGATAAGGAAAGGTAAACCACACACATTCATTTATCATTTTATGGGTCAAGAAAATAAATATTTGCAAACTCTAATTTTAGGACATCTTAAATTTATTGTTTTTAAATTTTATCTTGTCTTAAACATGAATTTTAATTTATGATCTTTTAGTAATCTACATTTTTATATGCTCTCACACTTTTTATGATTTAATATCACATCTTTGATCTTTTTAATAGAAAAGGCTATATATATAATTAAATCTTATAACATTTAAAGTGCTTCCAGACCTATCTTTTCCCCTGTGTACCTTTCCGTCAAAAGATTTATAGCTCAAAATGGAAGTCTTCTTTGTTGCACATATTACATTACCATGTGAGAAGACAACAGTGACCAATAAATCAAGATAGAAATAGACAGAAAAACAGAGCTTACTGACAAAATAATTTGATACATCTGGTATAGTTCTATGATTATTCCTAAAATGTTTTTAAAACTGAAATTTTACTTTATCGTTTTATTTTATCTCTCATATGGTGTCCTGTTGCTAAGGCAAAAATTAAAATAAACATTTAACCTGTCAAACTAATCCTATTCTCAGTCATGTAATATTGTAAAACTACTACCTTAAGCAGCAAAGTAAAAAAAAAACCCTGAGGGGTTTAATACTAAATCAATTCAGGACTTTCAGACTGCTAAGACCCGCAAACAGTATAATGATCACCATTGCCAGCTAATTGTTACAACATTGCTTTAATGTTTTGTATATTGAATTCTCTGCAAACAGAATTCAATATACCTTACATATAAAGGTAAAACAGTTTCTCACAACAATACCTCAAAATTTATGAATGACAAATTGTGTTCTATTACATGTCAAATAACTTGTAACTTGATTGGATCCATATTAAATAAACATAATAAAACAGAATATAGAGAAACCAGCTTGGAATGGCAGCATAGAATAACTGATGCAGAACACCATGTATTCTGGTTCATTAAATATATATATATAAATACATGAGACTTTTTAAATGAATTGGCTATTGGACTATACTATTAGTACTATGGATTAAACAAATGTATATTGTGTGTGTGTGTGTGTGTGTGCAGCACACAATTGTGAGCTGTCTTGAAACTCTTTTCTCTCCAAATATATTAATGTCATTTAAGACAATTACATTTGTTCTGAGCAGCTTGTATAAGCCAACCTTAAATATAATCAAAGCAAGCCCACTGAATAATACTCTTTGTTCACATAGATAATAAGTATCAACTGCACAGATCAAAGAAATGCAAGTCAATTTTACCAAGAAGCATTAACTCCATTTATCTAATTATATGGTTGTCATATACCTATAATTACCAAGCATATTGTTTCACCAAAAATAAACCCTTCCCCGGTACACAAAATGTGAGAAGAAAGTGCAAAAATGAAGAATCTGGTGCTGTACTATTCCTCAGCTATTAATTTTTAAAAGATTACTCAAGTATGCTAAATTACATTTATTCAGCCTGTAACAAAAGCTGTTCAGAAAGATCACTGTTTCAAAACCGGCAGGAATTATGGATAAATTGTGTAGAATGACTTTGTGAGCAAATTGATCTTTGAGATCTTTTCCAAGTGACTTTGAACCTTATATCATCTGTTTTTATAAGCATCTGGCTACCTGATTCTTAAATAGGGAAGCCACAAAATGTCTTGTTCATAGCTCAACATTCAAAATAATAACAAAGGCTTATGTTTATCTGTCACTAAGTCCCACTGAACCTAGTGGGATTTACTCTTAAATAAACATAACGCAGCTCACAAATCTTCTGAAAAAGACACCAAAAGCACTTTGCATGCAGTAATCCAACTATCATTGAGAAGAAAGAATGAAGATAGAAATAACATAGGGGAAAGGTTTTTCTTATCTATGCCTTTGGCCATGCAACTGTGATTGAACATTAGAGAAAATATTTTAATTGCAAATCAATGAAGTAAAATATATAGTGAAGCTGAAAGCTTTTCAGGCAGGACCTTTGCCTTAACTAGAGAAGGCTTTTAGCTGATGAATTCCTGTATTGCGTTTTGCAAAACTAAATGCCAAATCTAAATTTCACAAGCATCCTACAATAACAAAGATGGAATCAAGTCACATAATCCTTTTTCAATCTTTGAGGATTTGATTTAAAATGATTATATTCGGAGACTATGGTTGTCATCAGAAGTCTGAAACATGAGAGACCCCAAAAGATTTTACACCTGACACCTTTCAGATGCATAAGGAGGCAGCACCAGCCAATATGTACAAAGGCATTCTTAAAGGCATCAGCCACCTAAGGAATTAAAAGAAATTCCTCACTCCTTACACATCTGACCTTGAAGCCAACACCTTGGAGGACCTTTCTATCATTTACTTCCTTGTAGAACAACTCCATCGAAGTTTATCCAATGTGAACCGGACCGTCCATCAACATTTAAGAAAAATGACAAAAGCCCACGAGTGCTTTCATACGGAACGGGAGGGCAAAGAAAGAATGGCCCTATGGAAACCCATTTAGTAACCTACGCGGGGGCTCCACAGGAGGAGCAGAGAGGAAGCCTCGTAGAATGTTCAGTGTCTGACGTCAAATACCTTTCCCGATTAAAACAAAAACAAAAACCCTCGAGCAAGCAGGTAAAAAAAAGGTCGTGGGAATCCACCCCTCTAAGCAAGAGCAGGTTTTCTTGCCGGCTACCCGAGTAGCTCAGCCTGCCTATCTTTGATCTACATTCTTTGTGACCGAAACCTCATCGGATCTCCCAATATGTTCCCAAGCCAAGTCAGGAAGCGCTTACCCGTTTGCTAGGAGGCTGGGGACCGGAGCATCTGTTGCATTAGTAGCCGCTCTCCCATTGCTAATTAGAACCGGAGACCCAGAATGCGTAACGGGGTGGGTGTGCGTGTAGCGGGAGGGTACAGAGCCATTCTCGCTCCTCTTGTTCCTGCGGCAGCCCCCTCACAGGAACTGAAAGCTGACACATCAACAAAGATGGCTGCCACGGACATCCAGAACAGCTTCATTGGAGAGGCGGAGTGAAGGCGGAGCGAGATCCGATTAACAGCCTGCAAGGGGGAGGAGAAAAAAAAAATCCTGAACAGGTCTGGGTTAATTCCTCGGTCGGCAGCCCAAAAGCTGCATCTCGTCATTCATCGGGGCGTTGCGATTCATGCCTGGAAAGATAGCGGGGGGAAGCGATGCCTCCCACTGGTACCAGTCTGGTTGGGAGTATCGGCCCTGCCTTTTGATGATCGCGCGGGTTTCGAGGATTAGATCTGTCTGCTGAATGAAACTGCCGATTTTTAATTTCGCCATGGAGAGAAGCTGCCGTGTAGTTTGTGGAGATTGGAAAGAGATTGGAGTCGAATCGCGGACCTTTCTTACTGCATAAGCGTAGTTCACGAACAACGGCTAAACATCTCAGCAAGAGCCTGGCATTCGTCGAATCCGGGCAATCTGCTTCTATAGAGGCAACGAAGTCGTAGAAGCCATATTTCAAGATTAGCTCACATGCTGAAGCTTTCCAATCGTGATTCGGAAGAAATCGAGGTGCCTAACACCCATGTTGTATATTTAGCACGGAGCTGGCACTGCTTTTCTTGATGACTCGCTTCTTCAAGCCTCTTGGAATGATTCCAAGAAACTATATACAGTACAGGCAGCTGGTGTTTCTCACACTACCACATGTGCAATTAGGCAAGATCTAGGGTCATAGCCACGCAGCGCCTGTTTATCCTTCAAAGCAGCAATAGTAGCTGCTCTAGAAGGTGTCCACATTCTTCAGCATGCATGCACTACCAAGTTCTTAGCTGCAATCTCCTGGCAGCAGCTTGAGGAACTGGCATATTTAACCAGAGTTTTGAATGCACCTTCTGCTAAAGTGAGGTATGGCCCATTAATCTGCAAAGGAGCAGTTATTATGTGTGTTGCAGCAATTGGGTATTCCTGTTGATTCTATATCTGCATTCATGCCAGAAATACCATCTTTCCCAGTGATAGGAAACAACCACTCATGTAGGGTACCTCAAAGTTATTCCTTTTTAAAAAAAGATGTTTAAGTTAACTATTATGGCAGGGCAACACAGCCACATATTTCATTTTCTCCATGCCAGCCCTTTACTTTCCACTGCTGATATAATTATTCTTCAATTTATATACTGCCCAATTTCCAGCAATTGTTTCATTGCTCAGCAAATGTTTTGCTGCTTATTACAAGTTCCAGGTATATTCTATCAACTTCAGGCAAAATATCTTCTATTTTATTTCTCCCTGGCTTTGAAAAACTATTTTAATTCATTTATTATAAAATTTATTTGCTGTCCATCTTGTTTCAAAGCGAATGAGTGGCTTACATTATTTTGTAAACACAACAACCTTAATTCTTGCCATTGGCTTTTATTGTAATCTTGTTTACTTATCAGTGCTTAACATTTACAGCCTTTATCCCTCTTTGCCTCTACCCTATCAAATGATTATACTTACTTTGTCTGACTAAATCTAACCAGTACCTATCTTTCATGCCTACATTTCTGATTAAATTATGAAATTCTGGTTTCAGTCTTTTTGTTTTGCTCTCTTATACACAAGAGATGTAAGATTCCCTTTATTTATGTTTAGATTTTGATTTTTACACAAGAGATGAGCTCTGGGATGAAGAATGAATATGATGTACTTAGAGGTAGTGTTAAAATATTAAAATTGATGATGAAAGAAATTCCTGTTTATTTACTTTTTCACCTTTTTTATTTTTATGTTCATATTTTTTAGGTTGTATTTGTTCTTATTCTTTTGATAATAAAATTACCAAAATAAGGAATCAGACTGACTCATTCATGAACTGGGAATGAGAGATAAGCAATATTATGAAGTCACAGTTGAAAAAAATATTTTGCTAGGACATACATATATGTGATTGAATACAAGTGGGGAAAGACCCATGAAAACTGACAAAATTGTCAACCATTCTCCTATCCATATGAGAGGAATGAAAAAAAAACACTAGATTTTTATACTGTCAAATATTAGCTGGTGATTACAGAAGATGTTCTAGAACAGAAGATGTCATCATGATAGAATAACTAAATGTCTGCAATGGAATATTGGCCACTGTTCTAAAGTGCAATCATTCCTATGATTTACGAGGAATCTTGATAAAGATAAAACCATATGGATCCTTGTTGCATGCAACAAGACCATGCAACCTGTCAAATAATCATTAAATCACAATCTACATTTATATACACAGAAAGAATGTTGTGGTGAAGCAAAAACGTATCTGAAAAGTGGGTTCTTTTTCATGAAATTTATTTAAAATAATCATTACATTACAAATCACATCATCCGCAGAGATCATAGATCTGACATTTCTTTGGTGTGCCAGAGAGTAAACATTTCATTCAAAACTGTTTTGCAAGAGATCCACCTAACATCACTGTCAAAATACAGGACAGAATAATGGAGTCGGAGGGGACCTTGGAGATCTTTTAGTCAAACCTGCTCAAGCAGGAAATCTTATACTCTTTCAAATAAATGATTGTCAATTCTTTTCTTAAAAACCTCCAGTGTTGAAGCACCCACAACCTCTGGAGGAATGTCATTCCACTGATCAATTGTTCTGTCATAAAAACTTTGAGTTCTAGATTGGTTCTCTCCTTGATTAGTTTCTATTCATTGCTTCTTGTCTGATCTTCAGGTGCTTTGAAAAATAAGTTGACCCCTTCTTTGTGGAAGCCTTCCAATATTGGAGCACTGCTATCATATCATCACTAGCTCCTTTCATTAAACTAGACATACCCAATTCTTGCAATCTTCAATTGTTTTATCCTCCAGCCCCCTTAATCATCTTTGTTGCACTTCTCTGCACTTTCTAGAGCTGGCCTGTCAAACTCCCAGCCCATGGGCCAGATGCGTCACACGCTGCCCACGCCCACGAAGTGAGTTTGACACCCCT